TAAATATGCAAGTATATCTTGCACATACAGACATGAAAAGTAGCTTGTCTTGTTCCTTCGAAATGGCAAATACGTACTATACCTGGATAGTTAACTGATGATCTGGGAACTTCAACCTGGATAGACTGTTGTGCTGTTAGTGTTTGTCATTTCAAAATATATAGACACTGTTTGTTTAAAAAAAGGTGTGTTATTTAACATATATTTGGCTTTTTAACAGTATATGTGACAAGAATTATTTTGGTTGGGGACCAGAGAACATTTTGGCAGGGCATGTAAAAAATCAATCAATCAATCAATCAGTCAGTCAGTCGGTCAGTCAGTCAGTCTGCCTGCCTGCCTCTATATCTATCTATCTATCTATCTATCTATCTATCTATCTATCTATCTATCTATCTATCTATCTATCTATCTATCTATCTATCTATCTATCTATCTATCTATCTATCTATCTATCTATCTATCTATCTATCTATCTATCTATCTATCTATCTATCTATCTATCTATCTATCTATCTATCTATCTATCTATCTATCTATCTATCTATCTATCTATCTATCTATCTATCTATCTATCTATCTATCTATCTATCTATCTATCTATCTATCTATCTATCTATCTATCTATCTATCTATCTATCTATCTATCTATCTAAAATTGTATAATGACATGGATATGACCTAGTTGTACTCTATTAAAGGGATAGTTCACCTTAAAATGTTAACTGTCATAATTTACTCACCCTTTACTTGTTTCAAACCTTTATGAGTTTTTTTATTCTGCTTAACACAAAAGAAGATATTTGGAAAAATATTGGATAACTATTAACTTCCATAGTGTCTGTTTTTCCTACTATGGAAGTCAATAGTTAGTTAGTGTTCAACAGAAGAAAGCAACTCATGACAATCTGGAACCAATTGAGGTAGTGTAAATACTGAGTAAAATTTCATATAAACTATCCCTTTAAGGTGGTTTATGAGGACATGATTTGTGTCCTCATAATTCCATATGGTTAAAAATCATACTTTGACATTTAAATAATATACCACTAGTTTCTTGTAAGAGTTGTGTTACGGTAGGGTATAAGCAGTTTTTAGAGCCTTTGGAGAGTCCTCATAAACCATATGTAGAATTAATTGTGTTTGCTAGCAATACATTTTCATGTGAATTGGTAATAAAAACTATTAAACATCTGTAGACACCCTAAGATTATCTTCTCTTTGTATTCCTCACACTCTAAAAAAAATGTTTGTTTGTTCAAACTACTTATTTAATATGAGCTGAAACAACACAATTCTTAAGTTTTTTGGAACAACTTAATTGTTTTATGTTCAATTCACTTACATTTGTAAAAACTAACAAGTTAACTTAATACAGTCATGTTGTCCCAACACAAATCAATTATGTGGAACCCAGCATCTTCAACATGTCTGTAATATTGATAATATATTGATCATATTTATGGTAATTAATGGTCTGCTGTAAGTTATTTTTAAGCTTCAACATGCTGCCTTTTGACATTGGATGTCAGATTTTTTAACTGTTCACTGTTACAGTGTAATGGAAGTTATTCCCATAATTCATGCAACAATTCACAGAAAAAAGCTTCCACTGTTTTGTATTCCACATTCAGTACACACCAAACTAACAATTACCTTTAAACTATAATAACAAAATACACAATGATCTGCAATACAGGTTCAAAGTTTACATTTCCACATTTATAGAACACACAAAGCTTACCCCCACATTTGATTATATAATCTAATAAACAAAATATTTCTGTGATCCGTTCACTGGAGCATGTGGGACTGTTAGTCTTCTGTTTGAAGGCAGAAGGTGAAACTCCCTAAATGAAACATGAGCGGGATCAGACAGAATTTTACCTAATAAAGACATCATGTTCTTGGCATTTGCTTTTTGAAATATTCTCTCAGTTGTTTGGCTAACAAATTTGTGAACAAATATGTTGCCAATCGAGCTCGAAGAACTGTATATTCAAAGATTCCATACTATACAGCAGTCTGTATAACAGATTGCTAAAAAAAGATTCTCTTTGTGCTTGAAAGTTTTGCCTCATTATTGTTAATGAAAGGGTTTTGTAGCTTATATTTAAAAGTCATCTGAATGCATCGTTTCCATGTTTGCAAAATGAAGAAGATACTTTGATTTTACATTGTGAACAGATTGAAATAAAAAATGTTCAAATTCAAAAAGCCTTATTTAGGTTGATCAGAATGAAGAATTATTGTAAAATATTAGTAGTTTAAAGCATGTTTTCTGACTTAAGAACTGTTTTTTAAATGTAAATTGTATTCAAGTTATACAGTCATTTGCCTAATTACCATAACTTGCCTAGTTGACGTAAACAAATTGGCTTTAAATTGGACTTATTATACTAATAGTATTATCTTGAAAAATACCCAAATACTGTGTACTGTCATCATGGCAAAGACAAAAGAAATCAGTTATTAGAAATGAGTTAGGCTAATATTCAGCAAGTCTATTATATTTAATAGCAATTAAGAAACATGAAATTAGCTTTGAAAATGATTTGATGTTTTGTTTTTGAAGCATTGTTGATATTAGCAGTTTAATTAAATACTGCTAAATAATGCTTATATTTTTGCCATGTCATGAGGCAATCCACCAACTAGCATAGACGCATTTTACCTCCCACTCCTCCTCCGGCTTGAAATCAGCCTGTTCTTTGTGTTAAAAGATGACCTCTGGTGTATTCATTAAATGGTTTTTGTGAGCAGAACAATTGGACTCTTGGATTGGACCGTTTAGCATTTGTCTGGAAACACAAGGACACCATTGTGGCAGTAACATTCACTATTGCCTTGCATGTGCCACAAAATGGCCTGAATATCAAAATAAAAGCCTTCTTCTTTAATTAGCTTTTGTCTGGCCTATATTATCACCCACATTTAGTTGCAAAGTGTGACTGACATAATGCAGATTTAACGCAGGCGCAAGATGATCATGGGTGTCTAAACTTTAAAATAAATAAAATACAAGGTGACATGTCCATGCAGGCTGGTATAAACAAGTGTTTCCTTTATCAAAGCAGCCTAACCATTTTCATTAACAAAACAAGAGAGATACAGGAGGACATTTAATGAATTACTGCAATGAATGTTATTGCAAGGCGTGGAGTTTTGGCTGCCAGTAGGGGAATGTTAATAAAGACGATGGACTTTAATATACCGATGACTAACTATTTTACTGAGCAAAACTCCTAAAACTGGGTAGAAAATCGACAGGAGTCTCCAGTCCAAGTCCATCACACTCTACACACACTCTACACACACACATCCTCCTTCTTTGGGGACACAGCACCAAAATAAAAGTCCTTGACAAAAATATGCAAAAATAGAATACAACGCTTATTAAACAAACAACTTCACATTATTATAATAAAAACACAATTACTTGCATATAAAAGCTTACCTTTCTTGACTTTCCCTGCATAGAAAAAGACTTTTATGAGAGCTTGCCAGTAGGGAGCAGTAGTGCTCTGTTTTTTCATCTCCCTACAACAAGGGCATCTATAGAGATTCTGGACTTAAGAACTATTTAAACTCCAAAAAAAGGGAAGCTGAAACATTATTTGAAAAATATTTGGCTTTTATGATATTACCTTATTGCATATACAGTTAAAGTCAGAATTATTAGCCCTCTTTATTTAATTTTTTTTTGTTTTTTGATATTTCCCAAATTATGTTTACCAGAGCAAGGAAATGATCACAGTAAGTCTGATAATATTTTTTCTTCTGAAGAAAGCCTTATTTGTTTTATTACGGCTAGAATAAAAGCACTTTTTTTAAATAAAAAATTTGATTTTTAAATCTAAATTATTAGCCCCTTTAAGCTATGTATTGTTTCGATAGTCTACAGAACAAACATCGTTATATAATAAAAGCCTTTGAATGTCACTTTAAGCTATATAGAAGTGTCTTGAACAATATCTAGTAAAATATTATGTACTGACATCATGGCAAAGATAAAGTAAATCAGTTATTAGAAATGAGTTATTAAAACTATTATGTTGAGAAATGGGTTGAAAAAATGTTCTCTCCGTTAAACAGAAATTGGGGGGAAAAGATTCAGACAGGGCTAATAATTCTGACTTCAGCTATATATTTACAGTATGTAGTTGTAGTGCAATTGTTACTTGTTTATTTGCACATTTACTTATTATTTTAACTACATGTTTGTCATACATTGTCTTGTATTTTGTTTTATTTTATTTATTTATTTTTGTTATTGTGTTTTAAATGATTGTTTTTTTATGTAATTTAATATTTTTTCATGGTCATTATTTTAGAATTATTATAATTACTAAATGATTCTAATTGTGTCATTCATTTGTTTGGTTAATTTAATATTTTATCAATGTTTGATTAATTTATTTTTAAATGTAATCTAATTAATTTATTTATTATTTTTCATTTTATTATTACAATTTTGATTATTTTAGTTGTTTTAGACCGTCTTTTGTGGTAGTATTTGTTTATTAATTAATTCTTAATAAAACATATGCTTATTTGACATTATTTAAGCTAAATTGTGTCATTCGATTGTACATTTAAGCAAGAAGGTCGCTGGTTTGAGTCCCAGCCAAGTTTGTGTCTGTTTCCTCTGGGTGCTTCGTTTTTCCACACAGTCCAAAGACATGCGCTATAGGTGAATTGAAAAAAATAAATTGGTCATAGTGTATGTGTGTGGATGTGAGAGTGTATGGGTGTTTCCCAGTATTGGGTTGCAGCTGGAAGGGCATCCGCTGTGTAAAACATATGCTGGATAAGTTGCCAGTTTATTCCGCTGTGGCGAGCACTGATGAACAAAGCGACTAATCCGAAGGAAAATTAATAAGTTTTTACATTTATTTTCTCCAAACATTTACGCAGACCCCATAGCCTTCAATAGGATTAGGTTAAAAGTTAAACCCATTAAACACAATTGACATGTGCTGTCTTTTCTTAATTCACAGAGCCATTAAAGAGTGTCAGCAAAGTCATGGGTGCCATCGTCTGAACGATCAAAGAAGTAGCCTTTCTATGATGAGAAACACCTTAATCCCTTCTTCTACAAAGTGGAGTATTTCCAGTCCATCAGCAAATTGGATCTAGCTATGGAGGTTTGGGCTGTATGATTAAATCTCAATCCTCGTACCTCATGGAACTACCAACAAACATATCTGAGCTTCCACCTCCTGTGCTTCCCAACAGACCTCAGCATGAATTGTGTCTCCTGTTACGCAGTAATGAGCACAATAACATTGCGTTCAACTCTGAGTCTTCCTCCCTGTCCTCGTCATCGATTTCTCTCCTGTATGACCGAGGTGAGACGTCACCTGACTCCGTGCGCAGCTTGAGTAGTCTGAGCAGTGTCAGAACCGATAGTCCTCTGGATGTGGACATGCCTGAGGCGGAGATGGGAAAAGTAATGGCCAACAGTGATGATTCAGGCATACAGAGCCCAGACTGCAGACCAGACTATGCAGAGGACAACGACAACTCTGTGTCAGTCTATCTGGATGCTAATGAGGACTGCTGGACTGACAACGACAACCATAATGTAACTTCGGTGGTATCGCAGAAGGTCAGTCAAACTGATGGCGATGATACATCCTTGTGCTCTTCAGAAAACGGTGACGATGACACCAAAGATGAGGAGGAAGAAGAAGACTCTTTTCTTTCTTTAGTTTCGGTAGAAGTGATGATGAAGAGCCAAGTTGGAGTTTCAGCTCTGGAGGGCTCCACTGTATCTCAAGTGGCAATACCAAACACTGGTTTACAAGACACATCTGAGGACCTGCAATCGGATGTGTCTAAAGGGTGTTTGTTGAATAAAACCAACAGGGAAGTTGTCTACGAAAAAGGGGAAGTCTCTTTAGCCATTCAAGAAATTGATGTTGTGAATGAGACATTTGCGTCACCTGAAAGTTCTGAGGATATTAATGTCTCCAGTTTCATAATAGGTACCAGATCCATCTTAAAAGATGACATCCAGCAACACTCTGATGAACATCCAGAAGACGTCTCTAAAATGGATGTGGTGTTTGAACCCAATGAGGAAGTTGTCCACAAAAAAGGGGAAGACTCTGTTGAGTCGCCTTTAGCAATTCAAGATATGGATGTTATGAGGGAGACAGGGGTGTTTTCTGAAGGTACAGAAACTAATGAAGTCTCCAGTCTCATAGCAGATAACAAAAATGTAACTTCTTGCTTATCAGTCTCAAAAGATGATAATCAGCCAAGGGCTAATGGCCAACAATCAGAAATGGTTACTTGTATTGTACCCAACATAGAGGTTGTCCACAAAAAAGAGGAATACTTTGTCGAGTTGCCTTTAGCAATTCAAGATACTGATGTTATAAATGAGACAGTGGAACTCAATATGGAGGTTGTACATGAAAAAGGGTATTCCTCTACTGAGTCCATCCAAGAAACCAATGTTATAAATGAGACAATGGTGTCTACTCAAAACAAGGATTCCAATAATGCAGCTTCTTCTCTCTTAAAAGAGGAGTACCAGCCAAAACCCATGTTGAAAATGGCTGCTGGGAATGAATCCAATAATAAAGTTGTCCACAAAAAGGGAGAAACCTCCATTGATCCAATTCCATTCAAAGAAATAATGGTGTCTCCTAAAAAATCACAAGCTAATAAAACCTCTACTCCTATAATTGGTACTGTAAAGATAGCTTCTTCCTGCTCAAAAGATGACAACCAGCCAAAAGCTAATGGTCAACAATCAGAACTGGCTACTTTTGCTGAACAAAACATGGAGGTTGTCCATGAAAATGGAGAATCCTCCGTTGAGTCCATCCAAGAAACCAATATTATCAATGAGACAATGATGTCTCCGGAAAATCCAGAGGATAATAACATAACGGGTACCAAAAATGCAGCTTCTTCCCTCTTAAAAGAGAGCAACCAGCCAAAACCCAAAGACCAACCAGAAAACGTGTCTAAAATGGCTACAGTGAATGAAGCTGTCCCCAATAAAGAAGAATCCTCCGCTGGTGCAATTCAATTCAAAGAAACAATAGCATCTCCTGAAAATTCACAAGCTAATAAAACCTCCACTGCTATAATAGGTACCAAAAAAGTAGCTTCTTCCTGCTCAAAAGAGGACAATCAGCCAAAGTCTACAGCAAAAAAGATCAATGATTTGGCAGGTCATGTTCTAGTCAAGCCTATCCAGACCAAAGCCACAAAACCTGAGGCGAAAAGGTTCCCCAGGCCAGACTTGAGGAACGTAAAAGCCAAGATCATCTCCAGGGCTGCTTCTTCACCAAGATCAGCCAATCCCCTGAAAACAAACACTGTTCAGTCAGGAAGTGGGAACGTTCATGAGAGCAGGAAAGTGGAAGATAAAGCTGTAGGAAAAAGAAGCAGATCATCATCAAACCACACAAGAGGGAATGAAACAAGGAGTGCTGAAGTTGTCTCGAGTGGTGATGGGGAGAATGATGCAAACACTTTATTTTTGCCGACACAAGGAAGAGAAGCAACAATGAAGTCAGAATCTGCTTCTTCAACTGATTTTAAAGATGAAGGAGAGCCTCAGCTTGAGAAAGAGACTTCTAAGAGCCCCAGTAAGGTTAGTGATTCGGTTGTTCACTTGTTTACCCTTTTCTCAACTGCCGTTTAATAAAGAATTGTTATAACCAGGGCTTGACATTAATACCAGTGGCGTGGACCGTGGGACCCCGGGGGGACCCGCGTGATTAGGGGGGCCCTGCGTCGTCGCAATTATCAATAACTGAAAATCCGGCAACCGCAATAATCAAACCCCTGGGAACAACTGTGGTCGGAACCAAAGTTCGTAGGTCTGTGTTCTCTGAACTCCTCTCAAACGGTGGACTACTTCATTTTGATTGCTTGCTGCCGAACAGTGTCATAGCTCATTACCATAAAGTTAACTTGATTTCAAGTCCTCCTCGACGCCCACACCAGAGCAGATGCGCCGCGCTGCAAGTACTTCAGCAAGTTTATTTTATTTATTCATAATTTTTTACATGTATAGTTTGCATAGGTTTTTAATTAATTACATGTAAATGATTAATGTTTATTAAAATTTTATTTTTTTATTATTTTTATTAGTTATTTAAATTACATTTAAATCTTATAAAGTGTGTTATTAAAAAACAATATTCAATATTATGCTTATATTTATACTCTAATCAGCTGTCTGATTCAAACTCCTCATGTTTAAAACAGCTTTAACTAGTCCAGCTCTATACGTGTCATCACATGAGTCTGCTATGCTGTTATTCAGGCTTAAATGTGTTATTAGCTTCAGTCTAACCAAATGTTAAAAGATCTCAGAACATTTTTAGAATGTAAATACTGCGATTAGAGACGAACACATATACCCATTTGTCCATCAGCACCTTGTTTTCTACATCTGTTCACTGTCCAGACTCTTACAGAATGTCAGAGCGATTACGTAATTGTACATAAATGCTTTCGCATGTTTCTGCTTTACTATAACTGTGAGCAAACCTCCAAGAACTTTAAACACCGGTTCCCTCTAACACTTCCCTGGCTTTTTCAGAGTAAAGCTAGTTAATCTAATTATTATTTTGACTAGATAAGACATTTTATTTAAAAAATATATGTATATTATGTTTAATTATACCTTAAGTCAAGTTTTATGTTTATTTACTGTAAGTCTTATTAGTATTAAAATTAGTATGTAATTATTTACTTATTTATTGGTCAGTTGGTCAATATTATTAGATTTTTTTTTTGTAAAAAAAAATTATATTTATTTGAATTTATTTATGGACAACACAGACTTGTTCGGAAAAAGCAGCCCTATATACGTTTCTGGACATGGCGAAATATGTAGCCAGGATTATGTATGGCTCCATTTAGTTTTTAAAATGAATGCTACGGGGTGATATGACACTGTTCCTTTTCAGGCTTGCCAGCCGACCGCTTAAGCCTAATATATACTTTTACATTGAGTGATTGGCATAGCCCATGACGCATGCAATGCGCGTAGCCGTGCATTTATACTTCTGCATGCTGTTTCTGTTGCTCTGCAAAAACACTTCCAAAACACTAGCAGTAGGTGTTTATGTTACTCTGTGTCAGGTTTCTTCACTGGTGTTTTGTTTTTTCTGAATGCTACCTTAATGTACAAGTGGCTTAAACTCGCTCTTTTTAAAGCGGGAACTGGCGGATGTGCAACAACTTTAACCATGAGGTAAACACAAAACAAAAGTTTCCATCTAGAGCTCCTTCACGGGACTCGACACTTGTAAACACTCGCTCAATAAGGCTCACGTGACTCTCACCCCGCCCACACTCGTCAGCGCTACCAAGCCGACCAATCACAAAGCTTGCACTACGTGTCGTCGCAACATGTAATTACATTTTTTTAAAGGTGCGCGTCAGCGTTGCCGACGGCCTCGGCCAGGGCTATGCATCCACGCTTAGGCAGCGCGCTTGACGCAGAAGTATAAATCAGCCTTTACCTTAATATGAACGGCTTTCTCTCTGATACCAGTTTGTCCAGTTAGCTTGCCATGTACATCGGTGGACTTGAGACTCTCACTTGAGACTGAGAGAGATGACCACGATTACGGAGTTCGAGTCTGTTGAAAAATGGTTCCAGAAATCGAGTATGACAAAAACAGAAGCCAAAAAAGTAAATAACAGGGCGAGAATGTGGTAAAACATGGTAAAAACCAGGCGAAGGCTTTATTTATTTCTTTATTTATTTTTCTGGATTGCTTTTTAAGTTTTTGGGTTGGCTTTAGGGAAGTGGGTGGGCGGGTCAGTCTGTGCTTTTTAAAATACTATTGGTTGGGTTTAGGGAAGGCGGAGTGTGGATCAGTCAATCGGTCATTCAGTCAGTCAAACAATCAGTCAACAGTGACCGCTGGTGGATTTAAAAGAGAACAGCAGGCGCAAATGGCACTCGAGAGAGAAAGTTGAGAACATAAAAAGCGTACACAGCGGCCTCTGGTGCATTCGCAAAAACAAAAACTGCAAAAAAACTTAGCTCCTATGACGTATTTGCTGGTCTCCAGAAATGTATATAGAGGTACATTTTCCGAATGAGCCTGGGTAGTTTATATGAATGTGTCATTGAAGCTTTTGTTATTTTTGTTTAAAAAAAAAAAAAAAAATATATATATATATATATATATATATATATATATATATATATATATATATATATATATGAATATTATGAATATATATTATATATTTATTTATTATTTGTTATATGTTTATTCCTACTTTTATTTATTTATTTATATGTTTATTTTTTATTTAGCTTAATTTGATATTTTCCCTTGGTATTATTAGCTGTTTTGAATTTAAATTGTTTCAAGATGTTTTAATGCCAGTTCTATCTCACTTTATAGGCTTTTTCAGCTTAGCTAAAGAACATGAATGAGGTGTTTTTGCCAATGAAACAACTGTCTTGGAGGGAAAAAGAGTCGTACAAGCAGGGAAACATTCCTAAGAGGAGTCTGACTCACTCTTATGAACACACTGATTCAGTCAACAAAATCTTTCCACAAACTCACACCATGTGTGTGTGTGGAGTCAAAAAAAAAAAGCGAGGTGGAGAAAAGGAAAAGATCTGGGCTGGTCCTGGCATCAGTAGCCCTGAGGGAATTAACACACAATAGAAACGTTTTCCCCTTTGCTTCTTTTTTTTCTTCTTCTGCTTTTTGGAGTGGGCGAGTCTTGTTTCTCCTCCTCTTTCCTCTGCTCCTCCCTCCACTTCTCCTCTCTCTCTTTATTACCACTGCACATTTTCTGTCTGTTTTGAGGAATGGCGAACACTATGGTCACCCTGCGGCAGCCAGAATTAGGGTCTTTCTCTTGGGATGCTGTCACTAACCAGCGTCTCTTTCTCCAGACTGTGTCCTCCAACCTGGGACCATCTCTTGGGACTAACAGTACATCCAGCTCTGGGTCTCCAGAAGGCAGACCGAAGCCCTCAAACCGACCCACAGGTAGTCTGGGTCCAGCGGGAGGCCGAGTGCTGCAGCCGGCTGGTGAGTTTTGCTTGTTTAATACGCCGCATGTACTAACTAAATCTCTATGGTGTTGTCTAAGGAAGTAGAGTGAGCGAACGCTATAGTGGAAGAGACTCTAGATTACTTTTGTTGAGTGTCATGTTTCCTGTAAGCTTATACTGATGTTGGAAGTGAGATTTTTCCTGCTTCACTGTCAAAGCTGAGGTAACAGTGATGGAGTGAAGAAAATCTAAATCTTTCTGACTAAATTATACTTTATTTTGATTGTCTTATACTTCTATTATAGCATAATGTATTATACATGTATCATACTGTTTATATATATTAGGGCTGCGTGTAAAAAACTGACATTGCAATATTAATCAGGTGACTTGAATAGCTTGTAAAGATTAAGATTACTGTGTAGAATTGAGTATATATTAAACTTTAAGCTACAAATGTTTAAGTTATTGTACTCAAATGTTTAAGTTTGCTAAAAATTCTTAAAGACACATGTGAACAATAAACTTTCACTTGAAGGTTAAAATTTAAAATGACTCCACTATGGTGTTGACTGTCATTTCTGGTCAACTATAATCCTGACTATGTTGCAGATCCACATTACAATATACGATATCGATGCTGAAATGATATATTGTGTAGCCCTAATATAAATATATATAGCATATTTGATTACTCACAAGGCTATTTAAAATGAGTTAATAATTAGAATTAGTTATGTACATTTATTTTATATATTTAAAAAAATAATAATTGTTTATTTGTTTGTTTGTTTGTTTATTATAAGTTGTAATTTGCTACCATTTTGTTTAGTTTTTTGTCGTTTATACTACCATTGAAAAGTTGTAAATTATTAAGAATTTGTTTATTTCCTCTCGGAAAAAAATTATCAAAAGTATCAGCAAACAGTTTTATTATTAAGAAATATTTGCATTTCAAATGAATAATATTATTTTAACTTTTGATTTTAGAAACAAACTGTCTAAATCTTGACAGATTACACACACACACACACACACACACACACATACACACACAAATGATAAAATAAAGGCACTCTCGGAAAGCAGAAAAAAACCATAATAAAACTTAACTTTAGTGTGTATTTATATTTTTATAATATTATTATTGTAGCTTTTTTTGTTTAATAACTGACATCTTCATTATATATATATATATATATATATATATATATATATATATATATACAGTGCTCAGCATGTACACTCTTCACAAATCTATCTTTTGAATTCATATTTTTAATAGGAAGCTATACAATATTATATTTATGCAAATACATTAGTTTGGTCCAAAACGGTTCGATAATGGTCCAAAAACCAGTACATCCAAATTTATATGTTATAGAAAAATATTAAAAATTTTAAAAAGAGGAAAAATCAAGAGAAGCAAAAAAAAAAAAAATGAAAACAATTATTGAAATTTTGTATTTTCTTCAGTGTTTTGCTTGAATTTAATCGTATTATCTTTCAATTTCTAAATATGTTCAGTGACTGAAATACTATTTTAGTAAATATATCTGTTTAATAAAAAAAATATTTAAATGCGCCCAAATACATTGCCTATTTATCTACTGAGCAATGAATAAAAATATTCATTTTCAAAATGGTGTGTACTTAGTTATACTACAGTAAGCACTGTTTATATATGTGTATATGTGCGTGTGAATAAGAATGTATTGGTGTTTCCCAATGATGTGTTGCAGCTGGATGGGCATCTGCATTGTAAAACATGTGCTGGATAAGTTAGCGGTTCATTTCGCTGTGTCGCCCCTGATTAATAAAGGGACTAAGCCGAAAAGAAAATAATTATTTATACATATATATATTAAATAGGCAAAATAGACTTTTAGGCACAAACTAAATATATGTCACAAACTAACTTGTCAATTTGTCCTTATGTCATCATAAAGATGTTTTTAGCATTTATATAAACAAGTTTGTGTAAGATTTACGGTTGCTGTTTAGCAAACAGACCTGTTAGAAGTGTTAGATTTATGTCCTCACGAGTGAATCCAGCACGTGTGTGTCTACATTGGAGCGAGTCTGAATCTGCAGCTGGTGTTAATAAGCCTGCAGAATTCAACACTTCTCTGTCCAAACTCAACATGGCATTACGTAACTCTGCTCTGTTCGTGAGCACATGTTCATCATTTAAAGCCATAACACACTTGAGTTGAACACTTCGCACTTAACTCAACACTTTCCTATCTTACATTGTCCATTCATCTCTCTTTGCCATTCTTTCTTTTTTCCCTCCTCCCATCCGGTCTTGTGTATGTCTGTGTGTGTGAGAAGCCTAAGGCAGTTTTCTGTTCTGGTCAGAAAAAGACTTGTGTCACTGTTCTCGTTCTCTCTCTCTCTCTCTCTCTCTCTCTCTCTCTCTCTCTCTCTCTTATTCTTCTTTTGTGTTTGTGTGTGTCTACACGTTTTGAAAAAGTTTGGGACTGTCCCTTAACATAACCCTCTTCTGTCACAAGTCCCTTTCTCGCTTTTACATGTTTTGTTGTTTTTATTGGATGTGGATTAGGGCTGTGTAATCAAAATTCATTTTCGATTTGATTTTGGCATCCAATGATATTGAAAGCAACAATCAAGATAAAACAATTATTGCATTATCTTTCACCCCCTCTGGCAACACAAGCCTATTGTGGATACGTACCCCTTATCTACATTTCTGGAGAGCGTGAATTATGTAGCCAGAGCTACAGTGCCTATGGATGCATTTCGTCTATAAAATGAGAGCTACAGGGTGATGATTTGCTACCAGGTGACCGCTTACCTCAGTGTGGATGGCTTTTCTGCTGTTACCAGTTTGCCCAGTGACTTGCCATTAATGTTGGTGGACTTGTGATGCAGACAGGAGTTGACCACGACAATTTAGGTTCTGGAACATTTCCAGAAAGCAGGTAAGACAAAAACAAAAGGCAAAAAAATTAAATAAACAAGTAAACAACAGGGGAGAATGTGGTAAGATCTGAAAACTTTTTTTTTTAAAAAGGCGGCCGAAAGGGCTTTTCTTTTTCTTGATCGTTTTTGAAAACACTGTCGGTTGGGTTTAGGGAAGATAATGGGTGGGTTAATCGGTGATTTTGAAAACACTATTGCTTGGGTGTATGCAGGGGTACGATTTAATAACAAGCCTAGGCTGCCCTTTCCTGTAGTCTGCATTTGTTCCTCTAAGCCCAATTTCACAAGTAAATCAGTAAAATCATGTGACCAGCATTGAATGCACTTGTTTTTTTTTTAAAGTTTATATTTATTTGTGTTTTTAAAGCACGAAAGAGAACTTGTGCTGTTCTGTATTTGCGCTCAGTCTCGGAGATGGAAAAAAAGATGTGGTGTGTGTATGTGCACCTGTATCACCTGTTTGTATATGTGAGCTGAAATGTATTTTCTTGTTTTTAGAGTTTTTATTTTATTTATTCATTTATTTATTAGTTATTTGATTATTAAACTTTTGTTGTCATTGTAGCATATTTTTTTGCAAGAATGTTATTTCTTTATAAAGTTAAAAACTTTAAAAAAAAAAGAAGTGTGTGTGTATGTGTGTGTGTGTGTGTGTGTGTGTGTGTGTGTGTGTGTGTGTGTGTGTGTGTGTGTGTGTGTGTGTGTGTGTGTGTGTGTGTGTGTGTATTTGATCATATGGCCCATTCTTAATCATTTTAAATAATTATGATTACAATATTGCCCAAAATAATTATAATTATGATTTTTTTTTCATAATCGAGCAGCACTGTAAAGCCTGATAAGTTCACATTAGTCAAAACATTGGTAAACGCTGTTACATTTTTGATTAGTTTATTTGGAATATCAAATACAAATGCATTTTTTTTGCATAAATGTCACATGGAGTTAAATCTGTTTGACTAAGTGTTAGTTGGCAATAACTTGTCAATGTAACTGTCAAATAATCTATTTTTTAATCCACTTGAATGCATACACTGTAGTTGCTGATCATGTAGTATATGTCAAATTATATATTATATTATATATTTTTCAGCCCATCCCCAAACCTCAGCTTTTCACTACAATGTTAACCCTACAAATTTAACGATCAAAAAGTTCAGCTGATCCCAACAAAGCACAAAATAACACTTTTGTGTCTCCTTATCAGTTAACTTATTAGTCTAGAAGCACACAGAGCAACAGTTAATTAATTTCAACAAAACTTAGAATTTTATGTTACTTGTTTCTAATAAGTTTAACAAACCTACAAATATTTGAGTGCAATTTACTCATTTCTAATTTCTGGGAAAACATGAATTGCAGTTAATCGCATCCAGAATCAATGTTTGTTTTAATATAATACATGTGTGTGTAGACGATGCAGTGGCGCAGTAGGTAGTGCTGTCACCTCACAGAAAGAAGGTCGCTGGTTCGAACCCGGCTCAGTTGGCGTTTCTGTGAAGAGTTTGCATATTATCCCTGTGATCGCATGGGTTTCCTCTGGGTGCTCCGGTTTTCCCCCACAGTCCAAAAATTGGGTAGGCTATTTTGTCCGTATGAGTGTGTGTGTATGTGTGTGTGTATGGATGTTTCCCAGAAATGGGTTGCGGCTGGAAGAGCATCCGCTGCGTAAAAACATGCTGGATAAGTTGGCGGTATATTCCGCTGTGGTGACCCGGATTAATAAAGTGACTAAGCCGACAAGAAAATCAATGATTGAATGATGTGTGTATTATATACTGTATATCTATTATGTATATGTGATACCCACACATACATAAAAACATAACTATACAAAACGATTTTGTCACATATATATATTAAAATGTAAATCTAATATATTTACATATACAAAGGTACGCATAAATGATATTATTTATAATATTATAATTAGTATAATTATATATATGTAGTATAATAGTATAATTATAATATATACATTTATTTTATATATAAATATGAATAATATCATACATGCGAGCCTTTATATTTATATATACATAATAAACATACACAATACACACACTTAAATTATGTCAAAACAAACTTTTA